CAAGCTGCACAGTCCCAGGGCACCCCCAGAGGAAGGGAATGGTCAGCTACTCCTGAACACTTTCTGCTTAGAAAACCATGAAAAAAGTCACCGTACAGCACATAATGATTATTATTAGCAACATATAGGAGCCAAATACATGGGATGTGGTGGTGCTGTGGGTTAAACCACAGAAGCCTCTGTGCTGCAAGGCCAGAAGACCAGCAGTCGTGAGATTGAATCCACGCAACGGAATGTGCCCCTGTCGCTTGTCCCAAGTTCTGCCAACCTAGCAGTTTGAAAGCATATAAAAATGTGAGTAGATAAATAGGGACCACCTCAGTGGGAAGGTAATGGCTTTCTGTGTCTAGTCGCGCTGGCCACGTGACCATGGAAACTGTCTTTGGACAAACGCTGGCTCTGTGGCTTGGAAACGGGGATGAACACTGCGCCCTAGAGTCGGACACGACTGGAGTAAATGTCAAGGGGAACCTTTACCTAGGATCCAAATGCAATTACAGTATTTCTCCACCACTGTGTTCCTGGTGGCTTGTAGGGAAAGCCATAACTAGCAATTTCACCATCCAGGACTTCACTATTAATTAAGCAGAACTCACGTGATATTAGCTTGCATAAGGAAAGAGGATGGAGGAATTGGGAGGAACACCTAGGGCTGAGCACACAACAGCCATATTAGCTGGATGAGGGGAGCAGCTTTGCATCAGTCCAGCAGCAAATGCCATCAGGCAAATTCCACCTGTCCAGCAGCAGATGTTTGTGCTTCCTAAATGTCTCCATCATGGATCAAAGCTCCAGTTGCCCCGCCCTCGTTACAGCTCTGCTGGCCACAAAGAGCATAGCAGGATTGCAATGGCAGGCTTGGTCCTATGTTTCAGTTCCAGACGATTCAAGTGCGACCCTTAACTTTTGGTGCTGTTAACAGGAATTCTTAAACACACACAAAGAGCCCTAATTTGAAAAGGTGGCAATTCTAGTGCTTTTCTTTTAATGTACTGACTGGATACATGGGTTAGGCTGTGCGGATTAGTCCAACTCTTTGGTTGCATAGCTCGTACGGACCTGATGTTCACCTATGTTTGAGATGGATAGTTATTGATCTGATGTGTACAGTTGTATGGGTGGAGCTTTCCATACAGTCACAGTCCTTGTATGATTTGGACTCCAATCACGTGGATGTGTTTCAAAGCAGAGAGCCAGTGTGGTGTGGTGGTTAGAGCGGCTACTGGGATTCATGACATCAAGGTGCTAGTCCCCACTGAGCCATGAAACTCCCTGGCTGACTGTCCTCTGGGGGACGGGGGAACAGAAAGAACCCTTGGAGCTGTATTCATCCAAGGGGGAAGCTTTTTTCAAAAGCAGGAGTCACCCATAAATGGGGCAATCGTTCCCAGCAGCCACTAGAGGACATGAGGACACGGTTTCTCCTTTAAAATAAATATATCAAGGTGGACACGACAGATCAGGCACGGTCTTCTAAGGCCCTCTGGAAGCTCTTCCTCTTTCTGCTGTAAGTCTATTGGCCTTTCAGCCTAACTGACTTGACAGGTTTGTTACAAGGAAAATGTGATGAGAAGAGCCATATATGCTGCCCTAATGTTTTGCAGTACAACAATATTGGTGCTGAGCTTATGTTCAGTAAGAAGATGGCTGTGTACAACTAACATAAAATATCTTCCATATGAACATTGTTGCATCATCAAATCTTTCTATGGGTGTTGGCATTTCATATGACACACGTTAAAAATATCTCCGATTTGCTTTTGTTTTGCTACTGTGCTGCCAATTGTCTGGTGAATTATTGACAGTGCAGCTGTAATTAGCAAATAGGAGCTACAGCTCAACATTAATACTGCACATTAATAAGGTGATTCATTTTCCCTACCCCTGTACTGTAGATAAACTGCAAGGAAAATAAATCCTCATTCATTATATTTTGCTATGTCAGTTGCTATTGAAGGCACAGAAGTGGCACCATGAAGAAAAGGTCCCAAACCTTTATAAAGCTTGCCAAATTAAATACATGTGCAAAAGTCCAGAAGTTTGATTACTACCTCAACTGGCAGGGATATTTTTAGCATTCATGTGAAGGGTACAAGGACTAATTCCTGGTTTTTGCCTGCCTCTAACGCATTAATTAATCAGCCAGAGACAGAGAGATTCAATAGATACTTGTTTATTTTCAGCTGAAACCAAGCAAATAGGTGCAAACTCCACACACAAAAAACATGCGAGGAAGCGCCCCCCCCCGATAAAAAAGTATACATTTTTATAAGTTCGATCTGAAAAGATGGAGGCAAAGGGGTGTGGAGAAGGAGGGGGGAAGGAAGGGCTGCAGGTGCCTAGGCAACGGGCAGTAATTCATCTTTCCTGGTTCCATGTTAGGCACCCAGGTCTCTTATCAGTAACTAATGACAAATCCCTAATTAGACTAGTTACTTGCAAGCAATGGAATGCAGGCGGCCTCCCTCCTTTGTCTATTCTTGTCCATTAAGCAGAAACCTAATTTTCATGCAGCAAAGCAAGTTAGGCTAAGAGAGATATACATATAGGTATTAACTGGACCTTTTCATCTGGAAAAGTTTTTTTTTAATTTTCATGTTGGGTGACTGACCTTCTGCTTCCCTAAACGTATTAAATTATTGAAAGGTTGGGAGAAAGATCAAGTGCTTATAATAATAATGATTTGGCCTTCTACAGTACAGTAGTTTCAGATCTTTCATTTTTAAAATCACAGAGAACTTCACCTGGATGTTGATGTTTGTTCTGTCTCACATTCCCAGTCTTATCATTTGGCCTGACCGGCGTTAACGGCCGTGACTTGGCCACGGCTGTCTTGAAATCACTTGCTCCAGCATCACTCCATCACCTTTTGAAATTGATCCAGAGACAGGGCAATTTTCCAAAAGCAGTTACCTGTTTTGATGCTGTGTTTGGCATCCGAGGCCTGTCTAAAAGGTGAGTTTCTGTCAATGACACACAAATAAATTGCACATGAGTTCTACTTTAGCGTTCTGCTTTCAAGCAGCCCTTATTTTTTCAGCACAGTATTAGGAGCTGCTGCTTGCGGGGCCACTCAGACATGCGCCTCTGGTGCTGCGATAGGGGGCAACAACTGCGAAAAGAAAAGAACTGTCCCAGACGTAGCCCATAATTCTTTGAAATCACCCTGTTTGAGGGTTTGCAGCTTGTGGGTTGCAGGAAGTAAATTCAGCAACGTTTTGTAACACAAGCAGATCTCCGGGGGGTTATGGGGCATTTGCCATAGATTTTTATGGCAGCATGATGAAGCATATATCGTTTGCCAGAAAAATGGTCCAGCTTTCCAGAATCTTTCTTATTCTAGAGTCCTGATTGTAGATGGCCTTAAACAACCTTAAACACACAAATAAAACATGTAGGCGCACAATACCCAGGAGAAGAGGAAAGGATGGGGAATACAGACGGTGCATTTATACATCTGTTACATACTTCCTCAGTATAGAGGTTTGTGTAATGGTACAAATAACTTCACACACATATTACTCTATGAAACACTGTACATTTATTAGAGCAGCTACCCTCAACTGGCTGCTGTCCAGAGGTGTTTACGCTAACCCCTCTCATACAACAGTATCTGGAAGCTTCAGATTTTGTATCTTTTTGCCCAAGAATATACCTGGTTGTGCACCCCCTTGTATGGCTTTGTTGAAAGTATGCCGTCCAAGATGAGGAACGAGGAACAATAGCATAATATATCCCTGGCATTTTAAAATGTATACAGTATTCAAGTACTGTATTAGTATTATATTTAGTGCTCCTTCAAAGAGGAGACATGTGTCATGAAGAATGTCAACACTTTGCTGCAAAAATCCTCCTGATTGACCACACTGTATCAAAATGCAATCTTTCAAAGAGAAAAAAAATATATACAAAAGCATCCATCTGTTAATAGTAAACAGATGTGTCTGGCTTTAAGAAATGCCCTTTACCTTAATACTGTATACATCACAACATCACAGAGCAGCACAGAAGTCCATTAGATCCAGACAGCTTGCTAATTTTTTGGTCTTGCCCTACCACCAGGCAGGATGAGATGGTCGTCACCAGCAGGACTGCTATGAAAGGGCGGCAAATGCTTGTTTGATGTACGTACTTATACCCCCCCTTTCCTCCAATAAGCTCAAAACAGCATGGTTCTTTTACAACCCATTTTATCTTCTCAACAACCTTGTGAGGCTGGCCAGATGAAAATAGAATGGCGGATTTATTGGGTTTCATAGCTCAGATGAAAGTTGTTTGATTTGCTATGGTTAGAATTTTATTGTTGGAGACAGGGGAAGTGTTCGGCTTCATGTACTATAATAAGTTGTCCACTTTGCTTTGGGTAACTGGGGGTGCCATTCCTTCCTTTATTTCGGGTAGAAAAATGTCTCTGGGCAGCCCTGCCTGACATTGTACTCACACTCTGAAGAGAGACCACACCCAGAAATAGTGTGTGAAGCCTTTTCTATCAGAGCATGTTAAAGGTGGAGATTCAACTTCTAAGGGCCATGAAATTATAAAGACATAAATCCCCAGCCAGGGAAAAGTGTGCCAAGTGCAGTTCCTATTTTAAATTAAACTTCCCAACATGCTGTATATTTTTGGCATCAAATAAAATGGGATATAAGATAATGACAAAAGGCATGACCTAGAAAGTCTGAACTTGCAGATCTCAATCTATGGAACAGTTTTAGGCAAATCTGAGCTTGCTAGGGCTGTAGGCAACGCTAACATACCTTATACGGCTGTTGTAAAGATGATTTTATTTATTATTCAAGTATTTCAAAACCATTTTTCATCTTTAACATATCTAGAGGGGGGCACGATCTAGCCAAATCAGGGGCCCTGTAATGGTTCCTTGGTGAACAGCAGCTGGGCCATCCGTGCCTGCCTGCTACAGAGCTCACAAAGCTGTTCCACGCCATTGAACAGGAATAGGAGGGCACTAGGACCCGGGGAGAGTAGGGAAGCCGCTTTGAAGGGCCACGTGGGCGCGACAACCGGAGCTCCCGATGGAATCGGAACAGCAGCCAGCGGCGGGCCGACGTTTGCTCAGGTAATGGGGATGGCGGGGGAGGAGGGGGCAGAGGGATTGGTGAACGGGTTTAAAGGGGTCACGCCGTGCTCGCTTGGGGTTCTTATCTCTTCCCCCCTCCCCGAGAGTGGGCGAGCTCATTCACGCGCCGACCCGGATAGATTGAGTTGATGCCGGAAGTGCTTATTGGAAAAGTTGCTGCTGCGCCGGGGAAACCTGGGCAGGAGCAGGAAGGTGGGTTTTGTTGTACTTCCCGCGTAGGCGACACTGCACGATGGCCCCTGAGTGCACTATAATGGCCTGTTGATGGCGTTGGCCCTCGGAGTAGGCATCTCTGGGTGTCTTTTCCCTTGCATAAATCCTGACCGTTGGCCCTGTTGGTTGTTGTGACTTATGGGACTTGTAGTAGAGCGCATCTGGAAAGCATCCTGTCCCGATTGACACCCTAGTCCGTGTGCATCTCTAATGCTGAGAACCAGAGATTACTGTTTCAGGAAGTCCACCTAAACTTACATGGCAAAGGAAGGCCTCAGACCTCTGAGGCTCTAATTAGCGGTGGAAGGGTATGAGGATCCTTCATGAAATCCATAAATTCTGCCTCTTGGAATAAGAAAACTAGAAGTAGCCCTGTGCTTCATGCTTGAAAGCAAACTTTGAAATTAGGTTGGGTCGCTGAAGCCTGAGGAAGAGGCAGTGTCGTGTTGCGGATAGAGTGTGGTGGGTTTTCTCAAGAGTTGTCGTTGTGTCCGACTCTTCGTGACCCCATGGACCAGAGCACGCCAGGCCCTCCTGTCTTCCACTGCCTCCTGGAGTTGGGTCAAATTCATGTTGGTCGCTTCGATGACACTGTCCATCCATCTCATCCTCTGTCATCCCCTTCTCCTCTTGCCTTCACACTTTCCCAACATCAATGTTTTTTCCAGGCAGTCTTCTCTTCTCATGAGATGGCCAAAGTATTGGAGCCTCAGCTTCAGGATCTGTCCTTCCAGTGAGCACTCAGGGTTGATTTCCTTCAGAATGGATAGGTTTGTTCTCCTTGCAGTCCAGGGGACTCTCAAGAGCCTCCTCCAGCATCACAATTCAAAGGCATCAATTCTTCGGCAGTCTGCTTTTTTTTATGGTCCAGCTCTCACTTCCATACGTCACGACAGGAAAAACCATGTGTGTGTTTAGTCGTTTAGTCGTGTCCGACTCTTTGTGACCCCATGGACCAGAGCACGCCAGGCCCTCCTGTCTTCTACTGCCTCCCAGAGTTGTGTCAGGTTCATGTTGGTTGCTTCGCAGACACTGTCCAGCCATCTCATCCTCGGTCGTCCCCTTCTCCTCTTGCCATCACACCTTCCTAACATCAAGGTTTTTTCCAAGGACTCTTTTCTTCTCATGAGATGGCCAAAGTACTGGAGCCTCAGCTTCAGGATCTGTCCTTCCAATGAGCACTCAGGGTTGATTTCCTTTAGAACTGATAGGTTTGTTCTCCTTGCAGTCCAGGGGATTCTCAAGAGCCTCCTCCAGCACCACAATTCAAAGGCATCAATTCTTCGGCGGTCTGCTTTCTTTATGGTCCAGCTCTCACTTCCATGCATCACTACAGGAAAAACCATAGCTTTGAGTGTCCTTTTGGCTTTGGCCCAACCACTTCATTAGCTCTGGAGCTATTGTACTTGTCCTCCGCTCTTCCTCAGTTCTCAAGAGACCTAGATTCAAACCCTGATCACACTGTGGGAACTAAGTGGGAAGATGGTAGCGATAAACCACTAATTGAACATCACATAGGTCTCACAGACCTTATTAGGCTTACCATATATTGGAAATAACATCATGACATGTAACAAAAAGTTACACACAAGGCAAGCTTTTGAGTGCTCTAGAACTCATCAGCCAAAGATGACATTAAACATGGGTGTATAATAAATAGAAGAATTGTTCAGAGAGTTGCAATAGAAAGTCAATTTGACACTGTCTCCAGTCATTCTAGGACAGTGCCCAGGCACTATAACTCCTGCCACCCTGGCTATCAATATCATAATTATAAAAAAAGATTATTTTAATTTCTGGAGTTGAAATTATCTATGATTGCTAGTCCTTTTAGCCATACGTTATCTCCAGTTATCAGAGGCATTTTAATCTCAGATATTCGTTGCTAGATACAGCAGCAGGAGAGGGCTATTGCCCCATGGCCTATTTGTCGATTTTCCAGAGTTAATCACCATTATACTGATCCAATACAACCCTTCCCAAGTCCTTATGTTGACAAGCTAGGCTCTGAGTGAGTTTGTGTGTGTATATGTGATTGCTTGTTTCCCTTGCAGCCCAGCAGAATTACTAGCAGCCCGTACACGGGATCACAGAGTTCCTCAGCGCTCCCATGGTCAGAAGGATTTCATCCCTGATGGGTCAGAAGAACAAGAGGAGAGGCTGCGCCAGTGTCGGGAAGAGCACTGGCAGCTTCTGGAAGAGGAGCGTGTGGAGCGGCTGTATGTATCAGTAGAAGCAATGCAGATGTTTGCCTTGTGTAGTCCTTGGCCTGCTCAGTTTAGAAGAAGTCATCTAGTAGTGCTGGAGGAAAACCACAGCCATCCTTTTCATTAGTGTGAGTGACCCAGTTGCCTCCAATGGGAGGGTGCTGGGAGTGGAAAATATGCAGCTATCTACCCCACCCAAGCACCTGCCTTTGCTCCACATGGCTTTCCAGAATAGGTAATTTCACTGCCAGGGATGCCAGCTACCACCTCATCCACCTCCTCAGTCCCAAAGAAGAGGAAGAAGGTGGTCATCACTGTATCCCCAGCCTCCTTAGATGAAGGCTCTACAGCAGTGGTCCCCAACCTTGGGCCTCCAGATGTTCTTGGACTTCAACTCCCAGAAATCCTGGCCAGCAGAGGTGGTGGTGAAGGCTTCTGGGAGCTGTAGTCCAAGAACATCTGGAGGCCCAAGGTTGGGGACCACTGCTCTACAGTACAGAGCCAGCTCTTGCTACATTCATTTCAACATCTGGCTCCTTAGAACCAGCTGGTGGGGTGGTTGGAATTGACCATGTACAGATGGTTTATTCAGTGTATACCTCCCATTGTGCCTGACTCTAAGGACTCCATTAGAGCCCAGGAGTATTCTGAATGTAGAAAGAACACCATGGGCTAGAACTAAAGGTGGTGGTAGTGCAGCTGCTGCAGTAGGGTCTGCTGTCTCCTCCTCTTCATCTTCATCCCAGTGGGGGTGGTGGTATGTGGGTGGTCTGGAAAGCTTTCTTGTAGCCACTCAGAGTGGTCGCATAGACCAGATGGGCGGGATACAAATCAAATAAATAAATAAATAAATATAGTCTCTCTGATTCACTGCCATTTTCAAGCCCACTAATTGAGAGCTTTAAATCTTTGAACTGCAGAGCTGGAAGGGGCCTTATGGATCATCAACTCCAGCCCCTGCCAAGGTGGCACAGTGGGGGAATTGAACTCCCAACCTCTGCGTCCACAGCCAGAGACTTAAGCCACTGAGCTATCCAGCAGGGATGCTTGAGCTATGTTTACAGTGATACAGTATAACTAAACCTGAGCTCTATGATGGGGCTGCAAAGAGAAGCATGAATTTCTGTAATGGTGTGTCCTGGCACAGATGCAACCTCTGTTGTTAGATCTACTGTTATGTCTGTCTTAAGGTTGTGCCATATTCATACAAAAATGGCTTCTGGAAAAAAAATGCACCTTTTACATTTTCTACTTGGTGTGGCAGTTTAGGCTGGATGCAGAAGTGGTAGGAGGCCTGTTTTAGAATTTCACATGGAAAGCATTGCTCCTTGATGTGTTTTCAGAGGGTTTGAGAACCTTGGGCTTCCAGCTAAGATTAAAATAGTTTCTAAGTCTTTTTTAATTTAAGGGAACAAAATCTGTTTGAGGATGCTTCAGTGATGCAAACTTAAAACTTCTTTTAAAACTTCTTTTGTAGGGGAAGTCTGGTGAAAGCTGAATGGAAGCCTAAGGATGGCATTGTGGAGCTGAAATCTCCTGCTGTGAGCATCACTGTCTCCCCACCCCACCCCCAAGTCCATTTTTGGCATAGCCTTGTAATCACTGCATAGAATTTGTTAGTTGGAGCTGCAACCAAAGACTTGTTCCACATTGGAAAAAAAGACCCTGTTGAATTTCTGGGGCTTGTCTAGCATGACTTAGGATGAGATCAGACTGCGAGAAAGGATTGTGTCTGATTGCTTTGCCAGGAGCAGTCTCCCTTAAAAGCAACCCTTCTGTCTGTCTGGGAATCACTCCAACCTGCCCTCCACAAAAGTAGCCCTGCTGTTGGACCAAAAAGGTTCATCTTGAGCAGGCATCAGGGACAGATTGGAGTACTGTTGCCCATATGTCACAAGACTGCCAGGAAATAGCTCACACTAGATTGTGCCACAAGTGGTCCAGAATGTGAGTTTATAACTTTTCAGAGTGCTGCTTCTCCAGATGGGGCAGCCCAGGGGAGTGCTCAAATCATTGGGGGAGGGGAGAGTGAGGGAAGGTTTAAATGAAACCCACAAGCCCCATCCCTGAGTCCTTCCAACATAAGCTGAATCATGTCCCTTCCTCAACATTAAAAATAAATCTTAGTCAGTGCCTAGCTGGGAAACCGGATTGTCCCCCTTAATTTGTCACAAAGTCCTATAGGGAGAGGTTGTAGAGAACTAGATGGGGAAACTGGCGATTGAGAGAATTCTGCCTCTTATAGTTTTCTGAAATGCTATTTAATGGGGCCCTTCACAAACATTGGTCCTCACTAGCTCCCTAAACCCCTGTTAGGACGGTCCTGGACCAAAAGACTAGTTTCCCCTTTCAAGGGTCACTCCAAGTCTGATGAAAAGGCCGTGATCTCCTTCAAGGTGGGAGGCAACCTGGGAAAAGATCCAGGCTTTCTGAGCTTGTTCTTATTTTTTCAAGGGCTAGAATGTGTGTCTTCCTCAGAGTAATCCTAGTAACCTCTTTTTGTTGATGGCATTGGCAGGGAAAATTCTGGCACACCATGGGCTTTGCAAAACATGGAAAGCAATGCCTGCTTCCAGAAGAAGCCCTGTATCTCCTGGAATGTGTAAGTAGATCATGCTTGGAGGAATGTGATACTATGTGTATGCATTTAAGTGTTGAACAGGATCTTCTTAGCAACAGATTCTCCTCCTCCTTTGTCCTGGAGCAACCTACAGAAAAGCTGAAAACTCTATGAATCCACCAGCCACAAAATGAATTAGGTAAATTTAGTAAATATCCAGAATCATCTGGAGCACAGGATTAGAATAATGAGGAGTGTGACAGCCCAGTGTGTGCATATGCATAATTGTGCTGAGCTAAGAGGAGCCAGCTTCATTTGCCAGTCCATGTGTTATATAAGAGCCAAAAGAGAAAGATGTTGGCTTGGCACATTCAGAAAACACTAATTGTGTTTTTAATGGTATCTAAAGACAGAGATGGGAATGGGTAGTCTTTGACATGTTGCTCTGTAGCAATTCCCATCATTTTTTAAATTCTCGGCTATGCTGGCTGGTGGGAGCCACATTAGCAGCACTGCATTTGCCAACCTCACCTTAAAAAGAGAGCAATCTGTATAATGCAACTCAGCCTTTCCCAATCTGGCATCCTCCAGGCCTGTTTGATTACAAGTCCCAGAAGCTACCAGACAGAATAGCCAAACAGCTGAAAGGTTCCAGGAAATAGCATTAAAAGCATCTAAACCAGTGGTTCCCAACCTTGGGTTCCCAAATATTCTTGGACTACAGCTCCCAGAAAAGGGACGTGGTGGCGCTGCGGGCTAAACCACAGGAGCCTGTGCTGCAGGGTCAGAAGACCAAGCAGTCGTAAGTTCGAATCCATGTGATGGAGTGAGCGCCCGTCGCTTGTCCCAGCTCCCGCCAACCTAGCAGTTCGAAAGCATGCAAATGCGAGTAGATTAATAGGGACCACCTCTGTGGGAAGGTAAACAGCGTTCTGTGTCTAAATCACACTGGCCATGTGACCACGGAAAGATTGTCTTTGGACAAACGCTGGCTCTATGGCTTGAAGAGCGGGATGAGCGCCGCCCCCTAGAGTCGGACACAACTGGACAAAAATTGTCAAGGGGAACCTTTACCTTTACAGCTCCCAGAAATCCTGACTGGCACAGCTAGAGTTTAAGGCTTCTGGGAGTTTTAATCCAAGAACATCTGGGCACCCAAGTTTGGGAACCACGTCCTTAGCCACTTGTTCTACTCTTTTGTGTCTTGTTCTTGATCTTGTTTATTCTACTTAGGGCAGCTCCACATTTTATGTAGGAAATGTGTTTGTTTCATAATTCACAAACTTCCTGCAGAAAAAAAAACACATGAAGTGTTGGTGACTCACATGTGCGTATGAATCTTTAAACACCTTTGTACATGTGTTCAGATTGGGCTAGGTCACCAAACATCCTTTTGATAGAATTCCTACAATATTTGGTACAAGTGAATCCCAACCTGTATAAACATCCTGATGCTCCACAGCAGTACCAAGTCATGTGTGTTAATGCCATAAACATCCAAGATGGCAGGTGAAAATAAACATCTGCATAGAAGCTATGAGTTGAAGTGAACATGAGGTGACACTGGTTGGCTCATGACACAATAGGAAAGGATGGGATGTGGTCCCTGTAGAACTGACGCTGGACACGTTTTAAGCCCTAAATGTTGAACTTCTGTCTTATAGGGATCTATTCAGCTGTTCTACAAAGGCCTTCCTTTATCAGTCCAGGATGCATATGAGAATCTGCTGCCCTTGAAGTTGGTGAGCTTGCTGAAGTATCAGGTATGTTTTTTGATATGGGTGGAGCTGCAGTTAATGTGGATGATGGGAATTTAGAGGTAATCTGCCACTCCCCAGTACCCATGACAACAAATACTGGAGTCCTGGAGCAAGCACAGAATTAAAATTCTGGGCCCGAGCAGGCTGGGTAAGAGAAACATTGTAATCCTCTGGTACCTGGTCTCTTGCTCCCCTGTAATTGTGCCAATTGCAAAGAACATTAGGACAGTATAATTAGCAAATACAATTATGGAGGCAGGAAAGGATGTGTGCAGATTTACCACAAGAGTTTGAGGCTTGACTGCTTATTAAATAATGGTGGTAGCATCCTAGATTTTAGGTGAATCTAACAACTTTTCTGTTGCTAGCCCAGGCATACTTTACAAAGAATGCAGTGGTCTCACACTGCTTATTAAATAATGGTGGTAGCATCCCAGATTTTAGGTGAACCTAAACAATGTTTCTGTTGGCAACCCAGGCATACTTTACAAAGAATGTGGTGGTCTCAGTTGAAGTATGTCTTGATGGTATTTGAGCACACTTGAACAGGATTGGATGGGAGTCATTATAATCATGACAAACCTACTTTTGTCACTTACTACTCAGTTTCTTCTCACCTTTGAGGCATCACAGTGGGCACTTGCCTTGTGTGTGCTTCGGACTACAAGACCCTGTGGTACCATTTTCTGACTAAATATGGCCTACTAGCCAGTGTGTAGAAATTGGATCAAGAAATTCATAGTTGTCCTAGTTTGTCCATAGACTTTTTGGTTGACCTAAGACAAATTGATTACAAACAACTAGCTATTTTCAACTAGTTATATACAGGCTTCTTTTCATCTCGCTTTTTGTTTTCAATAAGGGGAGATTAACGTCTATGTAATTAGAGGAATGTGGTGGCATAAGGGCTCTTTAGTCAAATGTGTACATTCTTTAGTTGGGTGAACAATGGCTGTACTGACTGAGGAGAAGGAGCATCTCAGGCTCTTGAAAGTGCATCGTGTGTCACACTAAAGCTTTGAAACCCCAAATGCTTATAGCAGAATCCCGTATGTGCCTAGTCATAACTAAGTACCACTGAGTCCATTGTGCCTTACTCCAGGGCAAGTGAGTGTAGGGTTGCAGCCTTATCATGATGTGCCCTGTGAAGGATGCAAAGCAAAATCAAGCAGAATCACTTCGTAGCTATTAGGAAAACATCTTTTAAAATGTGTTTTGCCTGGGAAACATGTATCTAGGGATGTGGGTCTGTTACAGATGCCCATGGCAGAGAACTGGGATCATCAACACCATCTTCCTGTGGGCTCACAGGGTAGAGAAGATACATATGCCTTCAGGGAATGCAGAGCAGTTCAGTGGTTGGCCCTCTTGGTGTTGTTAGACTCCACATTCTGGCCAGCATAGGAGGTGGAGAAGCATGATGGGAGTTGTATCCGTACAATGTCTGAAGGGCCACAGGTTCCCAAAGCTTTGATGCCACTTGTGATGTAAATTTCAGTCAGAGATAATGTTGAACCTAGTTTGGTTGTGTGATCCTGAGACTGCTGTTCTTTCTGATATGATCACTTTCTCCCCTATTTGAAGGTTTTCAGCCACTTGAAGAGACTGGGGTACATTGTTTTAAGATTCCATCCCAGGTAATTGTCGGACATTAGCCCCCCCTTTCTGACCCCCTCCTCCAGGTTTTCTCCTAGGCATCCCCATAACTTTGCATGTTTGCAGATTTTTTTCGCTCTTACCACAACTGCCTCTTAAGATTAATGCACTCTTTCCTGTCCTTTGGGTTTAGCCCTGTGGATGCCCTTTGCCTCCCATCTCTTCCTTTGATTTCAAGCGGGCCTGTGGATTAATGAGCCAAAGAGATAATATCTAGATGGAAGAAGAGTTTTTACTTTTCAGGGTCAAATTAGACAAAATGCTGAAGTATGTAGTTAAAAGCAGTGGTCCCTCAAGTGGTAAAAGCTGCCCATTTGTTACAGTGCATGCCCTTCCTCACCTCCGTGTCCTGCATTTAGCCGTGCATTGTTTTGTGATTGGTCACTAGAAGGTAAACAAGCTTATATTGCAAGAGGACTGTAAGGAGGAAAACATGTTAATTGTAGGGAATAAACATTTCCATGAAGGCCTTCGAGAATACAATAAACATTTCCCTTCATGTCTAATTTGATATGCATTTCAGCTTGTGACTGTTTCATGCCTTTTGCCTCTAGTTTGTAATAGGCTACTCTCATGATACTGCCTTTCCACTCACTTTATCTGGCTTCTTTGCAGCATTGTTCCGACACCTTACGAGAGACAACTGAATCTGAATAGCTGCTACCAAAACACACAGAAAGGTCGTCACAAGAGGAAAAGGAGCTCCAGCCCATGGTAAGAAATTATGGGCACCAGGAGAGGAATACCCTTGACAGGTGTGTCATTGAGTGCTGAGAAACAGGTTGGTTTTATACTTGACTTTGTCACAATGAATGGAAATTTAGTTCAAAAGGTGCAAAAATAAACCTCCTGGAGCTTGAGAGGATACCTCTAAAAAGTCATTAATTTAAGTCCTGACTCTGTCACCCACAGCAGTTAGTTATCCTTATTGATTACATTCTTTAAAATGCAACTTTACTTTCCAGTCTTTCAAAAGCATCTAAAAGAGCCTCCTTATTACTTTTTTAAAAATAAAAAGTGAATTAGACAAAATGCTGAAGTATGTAGTTAAAAGCAGTGGTCCCTCAAGTGGTAAAAGCTGCCCATTTGTTACAGTGCATGCCAGTTCGAGATTACTTTTTTAAAAATAAAAAGTGCCCCCTTATTACTTTTTTTAAAATAAAAAGTGAATGCTACAAGCTGCTCTCCTGTGATACAAGACACACACTCCTCCCATCCACCTTGTTGCCTTAGATTCCACAAGAGAGTATTTCTTCCACGTGAGGTAATGACACAGGCCAGTGGTTGGACCACGTGATGTTCCTCCTTCATCCAGGGTTATGCCTCTGTAACTACAACTGTTACTAAAAAGTTACACTTACATGGCAAGAAAAGTGACATTATCCCTCCTAAAGTTACAGCTTCAGTGTAATTTAGCTGTACTTTTGTTAACAAGAAAATGAGTTAATTAGAAGTAATTATTTGTAGTTAGTTAGTTCCAAACTCTGAAATAAATAGTTTCCTGCCTCAGATAGCTTGACTTATCCATCAAACATGACTGGATCTCTTCAAACATTATGTTCTTCTTATTGTGTGGCAGTAAAAGGATACTCATCTATATCCTCTTCTGCTGGGTTAGGTTGGAAGACGAGAAGTCGAAAGCATCTGAGAAATCTCAGGAATGTAAAGAGTCACCAAAAAAGGCCAGGAGGCATCATGAGAGGGACAGTCGGCCCGCCCCAGAGGGTTCATGCAAGGAGGAAAAAAAGAAGGCTTCAGATCATAAAGCTGGGGTTCTGGGGCAAGCCCCCTCGCCCAGTGTCGCAAAAGGGTGCCATGTCTCTCCGAGTTCTAGCCACGATTTCAAAGAGAGGTCAAGGAAGACCTCATTGGAAAGTTATGATGATGCCCGTCCTTCCCGCTGGGATTTTGCCACAATCATTTTCCCCAATGTAGGTGCTGATTGTCCACACACCCTTCTGCTCGAGCCTGATAAGAGGCTCCTCCCTGAGAATGTAACGGCCCGGGAAGCTGATGTGGCCCATTGGCGCAGGAGACTTAACCAGAAGCAGGATCGGTTGACCCGCAAGGAGTGGGAAAAGCTGAAGTGGGAGAGCAAGTACAAGGGCAGCGTGAACGAGGATCAGGAAGTCCGAGGCTGCTCCAGCTGGCAAGAATACAAGGCCCTTCTGGAGGAGAGGAGGCAGCGGAAGGAGAGGAGTTGTCCTGCACACCTCTGGGAGCAGGCAGTTACCCCTCTGGTGAAGCCAGGCCCGGATCTTTCCACAGGTATTATAACCTCTAGCTATGGAAGGAGAGCTCCTTTACCCCTTTTGTCCTCTTCTAAATAGACAGGTGATAAAAAAAAGAGTCTGGTACTTTGACCAGAAAGCTCTAAACTGAAAATATATTCCAGTATTATCAGCTGGTGCTCTAAACAGGTTGATTGTAGAACCCCACACGCTGGCTATGGGAGTCTGACTGTTAAAAAAGTAATTTATTTTACTAGTGCTAGAATCACTCTGATACTATCTGCGTTCAGGAAGGCTAAATAAAATATAGTGGGAGAGCACCCATTCTAGTGAGATGATCTCAGATGTTCTCTTTTTTTGGGGGGGGGGACCAAACTAATTTAATCCTGTTTGGAACCTGAGAGAGATTCACTCAAGATACCCTGTCTGGTATCCTGTTAGCGATTTATGTATGCATAAGTTAAATTGACTCACTCACTGCAACAAATTGCCACTAAAAGGATGCTGGTCCTGTTACAAGGTGCACAGCCAGTTATCCAACTGGTGTGTGCCTAGGAGGAGGACCGTTCTTTGTCATGTAGCAATTGTTTGCTGTGGTGAGTTACACAATTTAAAATAATGCAACATAAATTGCTAAAGGATCCTGGCCTCTTTAGCAAAAATAGACCTTTTGTTTGTTTTAAAACATGTGTATCTGTCACTCTTTAGTCAGTTACATTTTGGGATGATTTACACTCAAAACATAACAACTCAACTAAAGCAGCATAAAAATAGCAATTTTAGCACCAGGCTGAGACTTGCATATGTCTCCCATGTACTGTATTCTGTTTTCTTCTGCTCCTGCTCTTCATTGAGGTATTGAGTTCAGTAACCCAGGTGAGGTATCTGCTCTTTCTCTGTTATGAAATACTCAATTTTCAGTAGTGGAAAAATGACTGTATCTTACAGTTGACATAGAGGCTTGAGGGAAGTTGTATTGACACTAAGCACAAATGGGGAATGAGTGGCAGAGATAAGGGTGATTGCAGTAAGGAAAGACCTTTGATATGCGGCATAAATTACAAGTTTTATATGGATGGCCCTTGTGTTTGCCTTACAACCAATAATAACAATTGTTAAAAGAGAGGGCAAGGTAAGCATATGGGGCAGTATTCTCTTCATGCCAGCATAATGTAAAGTTACGGTAATGTAAGTTTGACAGACAGGATGCCTGGTAACAAAAACAAGTTTTATATGGATGGCCCTTGTGTTTGCCTTACAACCAATAATAACAATTGTTAAAAGAGAGGGCAAGGTAAGCATATGGGGCAGTATTCTCTTCATGCCAGCATAATGTAAAGTTACGGTAATGTAAGTTTGACAGACAGGATGCCTGGTAACAAAAAATTGCACAGGTGAATTGCACAGAATCATTAAAATACAGTAATTCTATCCCAATAATTGCCTATTTCTATGGTCAACCCCTATGGTTCCAGGTTGAACAAGTAAGTTTTTAGATCTCGTTTGAATTTGTCCAACCCTGGTCCCACATGAAGGTATTGTAGAAGGGAATTCAATAATTTTGGGACCAGATGAGAAAATGCTCGAAGTCTGGAGTTAACCACCTTAGTGGACTAGTAAGAGCCCAACATCTGCAGATTGAATCCTCCTATGAGGAATATGCACCCCACAAGTTCCGCTAAATAGCTAGGGCAAGAGAAATGTAATGTTTTAAATCAGGGGTCCCCAATCCCTGGTCCACGACCTGGCAATGGTCCACGACCTAGGCAGAACACAGATCCCTTGCCCCCTCGCGGGCGCTCCCCCTGCGAGCACGATGCGTGCAAGCAGGACATGCCCCTGTGAGCGCGACACCCCCCGTGAGCATGACATGCCCCATGTGCGCATGCATGTGAGTGCGACATGCTCCCCATGAGTGTGTGTCCCCCCGCAACCAGTCCATGGTTAGGAAAAGGTTGGGAACCAGTGCTTTAAATGTCAGAACAAGAACCTTATACAGTGGTACCTCAACTTGAGAACGCCCCTACATAAGAACGATTCAAGTTAAGAACGGCTCCATTCATAAAAAGCTGCTTTGACTTGAGAACGGAGCCTCGACTTAAGAACCAAAAGAAGAAAAAACTTTCCTGCCCTTTTTTTGACCTAAGTTCACCTTAGGTCAAAAGAAGAAGAAGAAATTCACCCCCTAGTGGTAGATATGGAGTAACCGGCTTTGCATTAGTTCTAATGGGAAGTAATGTTTCGACTTAAGAATAAGAACGAAAAACAGCAGATACAGATTAAATGGTTTTCAATGAATTCCTATGGGAAATGGTGCTTTGATTTAAGAATATTTCGACTTAAGAACGCAGCCCCAATACGGCTTAAGTTCTTAAGTCGAGGTACCACTGTAATGTGTTTTCGATCTGACAGGTAACCAATGCAATGCTCTGTGGTGCTGGGAAATGTGAGAATAGCACAGCAGGTTTAAAACTACTCGTACCATGCTATTATGCACCAAGGTGAGAGGACAAAGTGCAGAAGAAGAGAGCCCAGCTAACAAGCTGTTACTATAATCCAGACTTTCACAAATGAATGAAGCGACAGCTGATCATCCACTAAAACACCAAGCTCCCTAGTCTGAGACAGGGGTCACTGAGCAACCCTGGAGAGAAATAGAGGAAGCAGTCAAAAGACGAGTGGGACAATCTGAGTGAAAGATCAGAACTTCAGTCTTGTCCATATTCAATTTCAAATGGTGAGAGGACATCCACAACTAAGTATTTGACAACCTGTCCAAGAAGTCCAGACCTTATCATTAAGCTCTGAATAAGACTGGTATACTTGGGTATCATCCAGTGCCCAGGGAAAGTGTGTATAAAGAAAAAAGAATTGGGCCCAATACTGAACCTTGTGGAACACCAACAGTGAGGGAAAGGTTGAGAGGTTTTGGTATCCAACAATACTGAAAACGAACGTGATAGGAAAAGGTTGAGAGGTTTTAGTAGCCAAAGATGCTGAGAATGAATGATTTGACAAGTAAGAAGAGAAACCAAGAGCTAGCACTTCCAGAGATTCCCAAAGAAGCCAATCTTCTCAAAAGTATTTGATGGTCAAGTGTGTCAAATGCTGCTGACAAATCAAGCAGCACTAACACCAATGAATGATGTTGAGCCTTGGCTGACAAGATATCATTCAAGACTTGGGAGTGAATACAGTCTCCGTTGAATGTCCAGCCCAAAGTCAAGATTGAAATGGATCAATGCCATTCTGACAGGCTAAATAAGGAGTCCATTGAGAAAGAACAATCCTGTATAAGTTTAGATAGAAAAGGAAAAAGAGGACCAGGTCGATAGTTAGCATAAGCAGAAGGATTGAGGGAAGGTTTTTTCCAACAAGGGACGAACAAAGGCACACTTGAAAGAACTTGGAAATTTGCCAGTAGAAAATGAACAATTTGCTAAACTAGTTAGAAGTGGCAGAAGAGAAGGACCTATAACGGAACAAAGAAAAGAGGGGAAGGGATCACTAGGTTCAGTGGTTAATGGAAAAGCAGCCGGAGTTACAGAAACGTCCTCCTCTGATACCCAGAAGAACTCGAACTGGTTTCCTGCGGATCAAGAGGGAAAAGGACAAGGTGGAAGGGAATCTGTCAGAAAGGTTGAACAGATATTTTGGGTTTTCTGAAAGAAGCAATTAGCTAGCACATCAACTGACGGAGAGAGAGCTATCTACAATTGTGTCAGGCAGTCTTGGGGCCCATAGATTCCTAAAGGTATTAAATAACTGTTTTGGATTATGTGCCTGAGCTGTAATAGTAGACTGATAGAAGGTCTGCTTAGATTTATCTAAATTTAAAAAATACCTTCACAGTGCTAATTTTAAAAGATAATGAGAGTGCTCTGATGGTGCATGCTTCCACTGTTGTTCTAACCAACGAAGGGAGGATTGCTCACTTTTAAGCTCCTGAGTTAGCCAAGGCTGAGCAGGGTGGACAGCTCTCTCTCTTGGCAAACAGAGGGGGCTACCTGCTCCAACGCCTCACTCATGACTAATTGAAACGCATTAGCTAGTTCATCTACTGAGCTAGACTGTAAGTTATCATTTAAATACATAAGCTCTGGTCTTGACCAATCTGAAAATGGCAGTAAGATCCCCTGCTTCAGAACCGCTGTAAGGTTACTAAAGGAAACCTTAGACAAGTTCCTCGTTGTAACCTTCTGAGTAGGCAAGGTAGTGGGGAGAGGAAATATACAAGAATTATGCAGAAAAAAAGTGGTCAGATAAGCCATTATCTAAAATAGAAGCTGAAGAGAATTCTAACTCCTTATAGATAAACCAATCTAAGGTTCTACCTCCAACATGAGTAGGAGGAGATGACAATACAGTCAAGTTGTGCATATTCAATACAGAAGAAAAATCCTCCCACAATTTAGATTCTTGATGGATATTAAAATCTCCAGCAATTATACAAGGCAACTCTGTAACACTTGATGGATATTAAAATCTCCAGCAATTACCTATACAAGGCAACTCTGTAACCAAAAAACCAGACAACTAGGTGGAGAATTCCTCTAAGAAGTCTGTTTCCAAGGTTGAGGGAGGGGGCGATAAATACATGCTAGTCTCACTGCAGGACAAATGACTGATGGATGGATTGGATGGATTTGATTTGATTTTATATATTGTTCCATTGGTGCACACCCTATTCTGTGTGGTTTACAAGTTAAAATTTGTACATCCTGGAGACTCCACATGGCAATACAATATGGTGATTTTTTTAAAAAAATCATTAAATAGAAAAGAAAAAATGATAATATAAAAATAAAATATGAATATTAATAGCATCCATAAGACACAGTTATCATGCTCATATCTGAAACACAATTGATTGTGCAGTGTGGTGGTGGAAGCACTTCAGGGATCACACTCCTGCCTCAGCTATTACACGACAACCACATGCACAGTCGCAAGTTGCATGCATGTAGTTGTGCAACAGGATTTTGGCAGCTTTTTTTTTTGCAAAGCATAAGAGTGTAGAATTAGCCTATCTCAGCAACCCCATCCCTACTTCTCTTTGATTCTCATAAATACATGAGAATCTTTAAGCAACATACAACATCTTTTGAGCAGGCATACAAGCAGGCATCATACATCTTTTTCTGATCTTTCTATGTGCATCTCCAAATCTGTTCCAAAGCATGTTCCAGCATTTGGGAAGAAGATTTGTCAGGGTGTGCAAAAACAAGGAAGACTCTGCTGTGTCCTTGGTGTCCAATCAGCTGATAAATGTGCACCATTGGATACAGCCCTGTGACAATGTCTGAGTATCTTTTCATTCAGAAACGCAATTGATCTGGGTTGCGCATGGCATTAGAAAAGACAAGTGATAATGATATGTATGTTTATATGCTTGTACCATTTTCATTTGCCTTTTTTAAAAATGTCTTTCACACTCGAATTACCTCTGGATTTTTTTTCTTCTTTTTAGAGGCAATTCTATGAGCCAACAGGTATTTTCACCTCCTGTTTATGTATTTCAGAATCCATGCATAATCCAGGTATTTTAAATGGAACACAACCGTGAGCCTTAAAATGGTGGATGCATACTTGTGCACTTTCTTTTGAATATGCCATTCTCATTTTATTGACACATATTTTCAGTTCTGTATGCAAATAAATTTTAAATGCTTTTCTTTGCAGGTTTTCTAGTCAGAGGTAGAAGAAGATTCATATAGAGTATTTGAAGGTTGTGTGTGGGGGGGCGGGGAGGGAGAGAGAGAGAATGATCAGAATGCCTGAATAGCAGGTTAGTCAGAGCAGATAAGTTCCATGAAGGCCATGCACTCCAATCTAAATCTCTCCTGTTTTTGCACATCAGCCAATGTCCTTCAACAGATCAGTGTGTTCCAGCCCTCCCACATCCTAGATGAGGCATTTCGGTAAGTATCAAGTCTGAAAGCTGGTTGAATGCTTCTAATCTCCCTCCATGGTCCCAAGCTTTCATAAATGTCAGTATATACCTTGTGTATTTGCTCCACTTTTTGTTTCAAATATTCATAAACTAGAGCAGTATTTACAGAAAGAAGAAAAAGATGAAAGCCTCATGCTGACATGAGTATTCTGGGAATTATAGTCAGTCCTCAAAAATCGTTTTTCTTATCTCACCATGGGAATGGCCCAGATGATCAGCAAAATAGTTTAAATTCCCAACTACAGTGGTGCCTCGCTTAGCGAGTGCTTCGCTATGCGATGAATTCGCATAGCGAGGGGGTCCGGGCCATCGCTGGAGCATTCGCTCAGCGATGGCCCCTATGACGATTTTTCGCTTTGCGATGATCGCTAAGCGATTCGCTTAGCGATCCTCGCAAAACGAAGCGGGGGAGAACAGCTGATCGGTGGTTCCAAAATGGCCGCCGGAAGGTCCGCGCCGCATTTTCGCGCCCTGCCCTCGCTTACCGAGGGCGCGAAAATGGCGGCGCTATGGGACAACATCGCTTAACGGTGATTTTTCAAGCCATAGGAACGCATTGAACGAAGTTCAATGCGTTTCTATGGCTTTTTTTGTCCCGTTTAGCGATGTTTTCGCATAGCGAAGGTTAATCCGGAACGGATTAACCTCGCTATG